TCGTCTGGGGACACCAGTTCCCATATTCGGGACTCCTTCCGCAGTCCCCAGGATACTGCTTTTGAGAGTAGTTCCTACCTCTAACCCCCACGTGATACTTCTGGCACCCCAGGTAGGCCCCCTTCCCAGGAGTGGGTACCCCCCACCCATTGCTCCCCTCATCCTGCAGCCCCTTCCACATTCCCTCCACTCCCTCTTCCCCAGGAGTACCCCACGTCTGTCATCCCCTACACCCTCTCCAGGGCATGGGAACCCCATGTCCTTTCTTCCCACTTCCCCTACATTTATCTTGGGGAAAGACCCCCTGACTTGCCCCAGCGTATGAAACCCCTAGAGCCCGGGGAGAACAGGGCGCGTTTCAATCATGCACGGCACAGAGCTGTGCACATGAAACTCACCAGACGGTTGTGCCGGGAGAGTGCAATGTATGGGGTAGAGAGACGGGACGTAACGGGAGAGGCAGGCTTCAAACCAAGATGGACCCCAGGGGGGTCTGCCCGCCCACAGCATGGCCAGGAACAGGACCTTGGAGCGTGCAGGAGGGAAACGGGCGTGTGCACAGAGATTGTCCTGGGTCAGGACCTGTCCAGGAGTGATTCAGGGCCCCTCCTGCTCTGGCCAGTGTTGAATCAACGGTGGAATCAAATTGCAATGCCTTCGGAGCTGGGAGCTGGCTAATAGATGCTCTCCTGCTGCCCAGACTGCCTTCGGAGCTGGGAGCTGGCTAATAGATGCTCTCCCGCTGCCCAGACCTGAAGACAGCACAGAAGTAAGGGAGGCCATTCTGCAACCCCCCCTAAAATAACCTTGAGACCCCTCCTGCAACTCCCTTTTGAGGCAGAACCCCCTGCCTGAGATACACGGATCCCCCTCCCCTGTACAGGCCAGGGTAAAAACCCACAAAAGGCAGATTCCACCGGGGGAGCGAGACCACATTTCAGGGTGGTGAAACACTGGAATAAATTGTCCAGGGAGGTTGTGGAATCCACATCTCTGGAGATATTTAAGTGCAGGTTAGAGAAATGTCTGTCAGGGATGGTCTAGACAGTATTTGGTCCTGTCATGAGGGCAGGGGACTGGACTCGATGACCTCTCGAGGTCCCTTCCAGTCCTAGTCTTCTATGATTTTTAACCCTCCCTCCACTGTCTGTGACGTGCTTTTGTGAATGTGGTAGAGCCCTAACGATCTCCCCGCTGACAGCTCCGTACGCCACGTCTGCCAGCTACCAATGGGCAGTCAGCCGGGCCCAGAGCGGGTCGCTCGCAAGAGGAGCCTCACAGCTGGGTCACAGCACTTTGCCCCTTGATTTCCTGAGGGAGCCCGAAATGCTGCAGGCCGCCATCGCAGCTGTGAGCCGCACTGTGGAAAAGCAGAGTCCCTGCAATTTACGAAGGACGGGTTTGCCAGGGCTGCTTTTTAGCAAGAGACTTAGGGACTGAGCCTTAATTGCTATCTCAATGGCAGCAAAACGCTTGGCTTCCCTTAGGTATCTTTTGGCCAGCAGCAGCTGTGCTCTGGGTGCTTTGCAGACAGGTACTTTGACTCTGTTCTTGCGCCGAAGCCCTTACAACCTTCGTCCAAGCTAAGTCGGGCCCTTCTCTGGTGGGTTCTGCTGCGTGGGACCAGCACTCACTCTCTGCTGGCTCTGTCATGATGTCCCGTAAGAGCGGCCTGACTGGGTCAGGGCAAAGGTCCGTCTAGCCCAGTGTCCTGTCTGCCCACAGTGGCCAGCGCCAGGTGCCCCAGAGGGAGGGAATCATCAAGTGATCCCTCTCCTATCATCCATTTCCAGCCTCTAACAAACAGAGGCTAGGGACACCATTCCTATCCATTCTGGCTAATAAGTATCGATGGACCTAGCCTCCATGGATCTATTGAGCTCTTTTTTGAACCCTGTTAAAGTCCAAGACTTCACAACATCCTCTGGCGAGGAGTTCCACAGGTTGATTGTGCACTGCGTGAAGAAAATCTTCCTTTTGTTTAAAACCTGCTACCTATTAATTTCATTTGGTGACCCCTAGTTCTTATGTCACTGGAACAAGTCAATAACTTTTCCTTTTTCGCTTTCTCCACACCAGTCATGATTGCATCGACCTCTCTCCTATCCCCCCTTAGTCTCCTCTTTTCTAAGCTGAAAAGTCCCCGTCTTTTTCATCTCTCTCCATACGGGGCCCGTTCCGAACCCCTCCTCATTTTTGTCGCTCTTTTCTGAATCTTTTCCAATGCCAAGATCTTTTTTGCGATGAGGTGACCACATCTGCACGCAGTGTTCAAGATGCGGCCGTCCCATGGTTTTACAGAGGCAATAAGATATTCTCAGTCTTATTCTTGATCCCTTTTTCAATGACTCCTAATATTCTATTGGCTTTTTTGCCTGCCGCTGCACACGGAGGGGCTCTTTCAGCGAACTCTCCACAATGGCTCCAAGATCTCTCTCTTGAGGGGTTATAGCTAAGTTAGTGCCCATCGCGTTGTACGTGTAGCTGGGATTATTTTTCCAAGGTGCGTTCCTTTGCATTTATCAGCATTAATATTCATTTGCCATGTTGTGGCCCAATTCCCTAGTGTTCTCTTGCACTGTCTCCCGTTTACGCCGGCAGGCAATGCAGCTGAGCCTTCCATGCCACTCCTGCCCTAGGTCCCCTCCTTTCCCTGCTTCCAAATGTTGCTGACCTATTGCCGAGGCTTGGGGAGGTGGGTTGTGATGTGTGGCCAGGCAGACTCAGCTGGACACTGGCAGAGAATTGGCATCACAGGAGTGGGAAGACAGGCAGGAGCAAACAGTAACCCAATTCCCCTAGCAGCTCACGATTCCCCTTTTGGTGTCTGGCCCCATGTCCACGTGCCACGTCCATCCGAGCAGCAATGAGCTAGTGAGACATCAAAACAGGTATCAGTTACGCCGCTTGGAAAATGAACGTTAATTAGGTCAGTGCTGGGCACAAAGTGCTTTTCCGTGGCCCTTTATGTAACCGGGTAGCGCCTCTCAAGTTTAACCCGGGAGCAGGGAGGGCAGCTGTTGCTAGAGTTAACCCGTCAGACACCGCTGCGCTACGCCCTTCGAAGGTGTGTTCCTCAGCACGCTGAGTGAGCAGAGCACAGGGCGGTACCTGGTACAGCCAGTTCAGAGACCATCGCCCACTGGAGTTCAAAGTAGTTTCCTTCTTTGGCCTATTAAGCCTGGAATGACGATGGGCAGGTTGCAATATCTCAGCTGGCAATATCTCAGCTTTGGCCTCGTCGGTGGTCCTGTGGTCTGTGGTCGGTGGTCTCGTCGGGCTGGGGAGCGTTGTCGGACTCAGGGGCTGTGTCTACACTGGCGGCTTCTTGCGCAAGAACATCTTGCGCAAGGGTTCTTGTGCAAGAAGTCTTGCACAAGAAAACGTCCCCCTGCCATGTGCGAGCTGTGCTTTTGCGCAAGAGCGCCCATGGCAGTGCGGACGCTCTCTTGCGCAAGAAAGCTCCGATGGCCGTTTTAGCCGTAGGGCTTTCTTGCGCAGGAAACACCTGCCGTGCGTCCACACTGCCCTCTTGCACAAGAGCTCCTGCGCAAGAGAGCTTACAAGCGTCGCTCTTGCACAAGACGCCCTCTCTTCCCACGCTGTACTGTACATTTCCTTGCGCAAGAGCGGGCGGGCCGTGTGGACGCTTGGCGGAGTCTTGCGCAAGAATGAGTCCAGAAGCGGCGCGCATGTGCTCCGGTGGGCCTGTTGATTAGAGGTGCACCGTCCCATGGAGCAGAGCAGCAGAGTCACAGTGCCCTGGTGTGGTGGCAGGCTGGGAAGTGGCACGAGCAGACTCCCCCAGCCAGTAGAACAGAGGGAGTTTATTGCTTCTCCAGGATACAGCACAGCACAGATGTCATCTGGTTCCAGGGCAGGCCTAGGATGCCTCAGCCCCCCTTGCGATGGGGGAGACTGGCCCCCTAAATCCCAGCCCCTTGCTTAGGCTGCTTCCCTCATGATCCCAGACAGAAACTAAAACTCTCTTCCAGCCCTGCCCCCCAGCCAGGTGCTGGTCTCGTCCTCCCTTTGTCTCCCTCTCTGGGAGGCTGAGCCGCGGTGTCAGGGTTAATCCACATTTGGGAGAGTCAGTGAGAATCTCCCATCCCAACGCAGGGGGACCCAGGTCAAAGAGCAGACAGCCCCCCACTACGCCACAGCTGGGGCCAGGAGAGGGGCCGGGAGCGGAGCAGCAAGCATGCTCTAGCGAATCCCCTGCTTCAGGGCTGGACAGGTCAGGAGGGTACTGGACCAGGGAGCCCCAACCTGTGCCTTGAAAACCGTTCCACCACCACGTAGCCTGGTTTTGTCCCCGGATAATAACGGAAAACGAGATCATAATTAGGCCTTGTCTTGAAACAGGAACTCAGAGTGCTGGTCTATTTCTTCGCCCCCTCGGGCGCCCTTTCAGCTGTGCTGGGCCCGGAGAGTCTCTCTGAACTCGGCTTGCCGGGATGGGAAAGGCTCAGCAGGTAGCCGGCTGAGTGGGAAAGACCAAAGAGCACCGTCTGCTTAGCTTGGCTGCGTGACAGCTCACCAGGGACGTGAGCCTCCGCAGGCAGCTGAGGACTGTCAGACACCAAGGAGGGAGCAAGATGGCCTGGGGCAGGCAGAGGAGAAGTGAGGGGAAAGTAGAAGGTGGGAAATTCAGCTGCAGAATCCCAAGGGAAGTGGCGAATGCCTCCGTGCTGGGGACATTTCCATCCAGATTAAAGGGATCAGAGCCATGGTGGGCAGCCTGCCACCCATGGGCCCCATACAACCTACTGGGGCTCCACCTGCAGCCCACGGATGCCCTGGCGGCTCCTCTCCCCCACACGCCTCTCACACAGCCCTGCACTCTCCCCTCCCTCCAAGCTCTTTCGGAGGGCGACGCAAATTGCCTGATTCGTGCTCCATCCCTGCTCCTCTCCCTCCCTGCAGGGCTACGTCTAGACTGCACTGTTAAATCGGAAAAAGATACACAATGTTCGAAAACGCGGACACCTTCCTTGGACATGGCGTTGCTTTTCCTGGATACTTCCGGTATCCCAGAAAAGCGCTGCGGTCCAGAGGTAGCCCAACAGCCGGAATGCTGCGAACAGCTGGCGAGCCGGAATGCTGGGAACAGCTGGTGAGCCGGAATGCTGCGAACAGCTGATTCGTGGCGCTCCAGCTCTGGGAGGGAGGGGAAGGTGCGGGGAGGGGACGGAGCACGAACCAGGGGATTTGCGCACTCCGAAAGTGCTGGGTGGGAGGGGGAGCAGGTAAGTGTGGGAGAAGCGTGAGAGGGTGGGGGCAGACAGGGGGGTTGTGAGCCCACAGGTAGAGGCCCAGTGGACCCTGGGCTGCTGGGGCCCACCCGCTATTCGTAGTTGCCTGCCCCGTGTTAGACGATCTAACAGTTCTCACTGACTGTCATTTCTCTTATACTAGTTACATTAAAAAACATGTTCAGAGCAGGAGAGTTGCAAAGTGGGGCACTCACATTGAGGAATGAAGGCTGCCCATGCAACCTCGCATCATCCCCCTGTGCAGAGCCATGCGCCGTATTTCATGCCATGCCTGCCCCCGGGCCCTGGCTCCCTCCGCGAATGGACAGCTCTGCACGAGTCCATGTTCGGCTGCTCTTCCCGAGGCGCCCCTCTCATAGTGGGAGCAGAAAATGAGGCGCCCGCCCCGCCAGTGGCTTTCACATAGCTCCAGACCAGTCCCAAGGAGAGTCAAGATGCCAAAATGTGCGGGTGGAGATTTGAAGCCTATCAACGTCAGGAGATAATTGCCGCTCTGGTTGACTTGGCAACCATCGTTTAGCCACGTTGCCCATGCAGATGAGTGGTCTGGTCGCCAATTATCAGCATCCTGCAGTTACAGAGCCTGCTCCATCCACGGACTAATTTCAGTGGGGCCTCATGGCACAACCGAACTAGAAACAAACCAATGGTTGGCTTCCAAGTGCTTTGCAACCGTGGGCAGGTCTCAAAGTGGCACTTTACAGCCATTCAGCACAGGTGTAGCACAGGCAGGGAGGGAGGGGTAGCTCAGTGGTTTGAGCATTGGCCTGCTAAACCCAGGGTTGTGAGTTCAGTCCTTGCAGAGGCCATTCAGGGATTTGTCAGGGATGGAACTTGGTCCTGCTGTGAAGGCAGGGGGCTGCACTCAATGACCTTTCAAGGTCCCTTCCAGTTCTAGGAGATAGGCAATCTCCATTATTAAAAGGGCCATCAGGAAGCCATTGGTTAAGTTGTGAGTAGACCCTAATCTTGGTCCAGTCTTAGGCACCTACAACAATGCGAAACCCTGCCAGGGCACAGAGACCAAGAGATGGTTGCGGTAGAACACTGGGTTTTGCAGCTCCTGTGTTTGGTGCCTCTAACTTCTCAACTACATTGACCTGTCAAGTGGCCAAAGCTTTTCATTCCTGGAGAGTTTAATCCCTGTCCTTGGAAGTCCTTGCAACTTGCAGGTTTCCTTCATCTGGAGCTCAGGGCTCCTTAGCAGGGCCAGTTTGGCGGTGTCTGATTTCAGGACGACGTCTGAGAGCTCTCCGGGTTCAGACTGTCCCTAGATCAATCGGGTTTCGTCAATCCGGCCACACTGGGTCACGCCAGCGTCTCTCCGGCCCAGGATCCTGTCTGGGACAGCGGCCAGGCCTACGGCCCCAGTAGGAGAATACGGAACAGGGCTCGGGTAACGATGCTCAAATCCCATGTTTGGTTCTTAACGAGACGGCACGAGTCGGAGGTGCCTTTGTGCAGAAAACAACTGCAGCAGGCTGTCCCGGTTCCTCCTGATTATTTCCTTCGAGTGATACGATACAGACCGCACGGGCTGAGCAAGCGAGCGGTGTTTCAAACCCCCTCCATGGTCGTATCTTACCTGGCCTTGAAAGTAGCTCACCTGCTTTTAGCCTGGGAGCTTAGAGGTGCCCACACATGTCCAGGCCTCCTCTCCCCCACTCTCCACCTACCGGACGGTGTGGGAGTGAGGGGAGCTCGGGACCTTGCAACAGGTTCCGCCCAGCCGGAATGGGGGCCTGCCGGCTTCCGCCCCACAGGACAACCTGCTGAAGAGACTTCGGCAAGAATGGGACCAAAACCCGGAGCCCCAGCAGAGGTCTGCCAGTGTCCCGGAGCCCCGACTCCCGGCAGCTGAGGTTGTCGTAGAGCTCGGTCGGCCAGCAAGCGTGGCCACCCCTGTTCTCTGAGTCCATGGGGCAGCTGCCCCGGGCCCTGTGTTTTGGCAGAGCCCCTGGGAGATTACTGGCTGGTGCCTGGTG